TATATATATATATATATATGTTTGTGTGTATAAAAATCTATGTCTTAAAATTTAGTGATGTGGGGGCATACATCATTATATGGATGAAACAGATTAATAACTGCCAGGACAAACAAATGTAGAGCAGAATTTTTATAGATTCTGAGACCTTCTTTTAAACAGATAATTACGATGTCAGTGCCTTTTGGACATTTTTCGATTCCCCTGACTTTTTTGTCCTGGTTTGCCTCCATGGCTTTTCTTCACTTTCTTTCGTACACCCAATGCATCTTCTGTATCGTCAGCATCATCAGCATTTTTTGCGCCCCCTGCTGGTCGTTTCTTTTTGTTGTCTTCCATGTCTCTCAACTCCTGTCAAAGAAGAGAGTGAAGTTATAGAGACCTTCGACGATAAAACCTGTGCAGTATTCCATTACGATCGGCTGCGAAACGACACTGCATATACAGCTACTCTACATGATAAACCCGCTTCCAGATGGACCAAAGCTACTCTCCGAACAGATCACTAACAATTGTTCTCAACATATCGGATATAAGCATAGCTATTGTGCATCACATAACAATACATGGCCATACTAAAAATAAATGCTTGTATCTCTGTTAGCTCTGTTGACTTGTGTCATTAGGATTTTTTTTATTCATTTAAAATATGCTACAAATAACGCAAGTGAGAGAAAGTTCTTCTCAAGACACATTTCGGAAGAAAAAACAGGTTGGTTTACCATTTTGGCAATCCGCTGAGCTTCGGACACCCTCTCCATTAGTAGCATAACCTCCTGCTCCTCGCTAGGATATAGTGTCAGCTGCTTGCCTATTAGATACTCTATTCGCTGGTACAGCTCAACATCGTACCTGCAAGACCAGAGGAGCGTTGTAAACACGGTCTTAGGTTATGCCAATTTCTGGGTTTCGTCGATATTCTATTAGGTCGTTCGATGCACGGTGTTTCGCTACACTTGTGTTTAAACACGAGTAAATTTGAAGAACAAATTAGTGTGAATTTTGCAACGTGTTTTTGTCAATTTATTAATATAGAATTAATCCTACATTCTCCAGTTCTAATGTACATATATGTGTGTTGTGTGTGTAGGTGTGTGTGCATGCCGGTATGTATTTTTTATGACACAAAGAAAACTAATTTCTAGAGTGGGAAGAAACCGAGACAATCAGCTTAACAAACACTATCAAGTTGTCACAATGTTGTACTACAATAACTGTGAGATAAACCTCATCGCTTATTCTGGTCTACATACTGTGTAACGAACGTAATGGCCTTGCCACTCCTGCCCGCCCTAGCAGTTCTTCCAACTCTGTGAATGTAGTCCTTAGAGTGCGTCGGGATGTCAAAGTTCAGCACAACGTCGACATGCGGAATGTCTAGGCCCCTTAATTTGAAGCGATATTGAAAGAAAATCTCTAATGATGACCACTTCAACACACAACCGAAACAAAACACATGTTATAGTAAAATATGGCAGCCATAAGATTCGCTTACTGTCGTCTATGTCTATTTTCAATGTAACAAAATTTAAAATAAAATAGTAAGAGATGCCACACCGAAATCCACAAGCGAATAATCAGAACTAAAAACCATCCTTGCGATGCCTCGTTGCCGAAATACTGCGAATCAAATCATTGGAATTTCTCACCGCAATTTTTGTGCCAACATTTTTTACGCGACAGTTCGATTACGCTAACAAGAAAATCGCACGTCGTCAATATCAAAATGCGATTAAAACGCGCACGTGCAAGCGCTAACGAGAATTAATTTACCAAAACGCGACGCGAGGAATACTGTACACGCTGTATATTTCGCGGTGGTTTAATTTTCGCGAATTTCGCGAACACGTCCCCGACCGCAAAAATAACAACACGCGAATAATTCATACCGGATAATTCATAATTCACCGACCGCGAAACTAACCACTCGGGAAATTATCTGTAAATTCCGTCTGAATTCGCAAAAATATCTGTACGCGAAAAATACGGCGTATACAGTACCTGCTGGCGACGTCCGTCGCCACGAGGATGGAGCGCGTCTTGCTCTTGAACTTGTTGAGCGAGCCGAGGCGCTTGTTCTGGCCCATCTGGCCGTGCAGCGGGATCGCGTTGAGGCCGAGGTTGCGCAGCATCAGCGCGACGCGCGTCGTGTTGTTGCACGTCGAGCAGAATATCATGAACGAGTTTCCGGCGAGTTCGTTGAGAATCGACACCAGGTAGCAGTCCTGTGCACGTGAGAAAAGGTTAACTGACACCAGGTAGCAGTCCTGCATGCATGAGAACAGGTTAATCGACACCAGGTAGCAGTCCTGCGTGCATGAGAACAGGTTAATCGACACCAGGTAGCAGTCCTGCGCGCGTGAGAACAGGTTGCATGCAGGACTGTCTACTGGTGTCGATTAAGCCTGTTCTCATGCACGCATGACTGCTACCTGGTGTCGATTAACCTGTTTTCATGCAATGCAGGACTGCTAACCTGGTGTCGATTAACTCTGTTCTCACGGCATTGCAGGAACTGCTACCCCCCCTGGTGTCGATTAACCGTTCTCAATGCATGCAGGACTCCTACCCTGGTTGTCCCCCGATTCCATGTTACTCATGCACGGCAGGACTGCTACCTGCGTGTCGCTTAACTTGTCTCACGCACGCAGGAACTGCTACCTGGTGTTGATTAACCTGTTCCACGTGCGCAGGACTGCTACCTTGGTGTCGATTAACCTGTTCTCACGTGGCACAAAGAAACTGCTAACTGGTGTCGATAACCTGTTCTCACACACGCAGGACTGCTACTGGTGTCGATTAACCTGTCTCAACACACACAGGACTGCTTACCTGGAGTGTCGATTAACCTGTTCTCACGTGCACAGGACTGGCTACGCTGGGTCGATTAACTTTTTGCTCACTGGAGCTATCAGGACCGTGGCCGAGGCGCCGGTGAATTGTGATCGATTACCCACTTGTTCGTCACACACGCAGACTGGCTAGCCTGGTGTCGATTAACCTGTTCTCACGCGTATCAGGACTGAGCCGTACATGGTGTCCGATTAACCTGTTCTCCACGCGCACAGGACTGCTACCTGTGTTCGATTAACCTGGGTTCTCACGCGTAACAGGACTGCCTACCTGGTGTCGATTAACCCTGTTCTCATTGCATGGCAGGACTGCTAGCCTGGTGTCTGATTAACTTGTTCTCACGCGCCCACCAGGACTGCTAGCCTGGTGTACGATTAACCTGTTCTCACGTGCGCAGGAACTGGCTACCATGGTGTCGCATTAACCTGTTCTCACGCCGCCGCAAGGACTCGCTACCTGGTAGCTCGATTAACTCCTGTCTCAGCACACGCAGGGACGCTACTGGTGTCGATAACTTGTTCTCAACGTGCGCAGGACTCTACGTGTGTGGTCGATTAACTGTTTCTCACGCGCACAGGAGCTGCTCCCTGGTGTCGGTAAACCTGTTCTCGACGCGCACAGGAATGCTACCTGGTGTCGGTTAAGCCTTTTCTCCAACGTGCGCAGGACTGCTATCCAGTGGTGTCGATTAACTGTGTCTTCACGCGCGCAGTAGACTGCTTACCCGTGGTGTCGATTAGACTTGTTCTCAACACGCGCAGGACTGCTACCTGGTGGTTCGATTAACCTGTTCTCACACGTGCGGGCAGGACTGACACCTGTGGTGTCGGTTTAACCTGTTTCTCACGCGCACAGGAAAAATGTCTACGTGGTGTCGGTTACACCTTTTCCTGCAACGCACGCAAGGACGGCTACCTGGTGTCGATTAACCTGTTCTCACGTGCGCAGGACTGCTACCTGGTGTCCGATTAACCTTTTCTCAGCGCGCACAGGACTGCCATACGCTGGCGTCGATTATACCAGAGGCCGTGTTCAAGGAAGAGCGAAGTGCTCGCGCACGAACGCAGCGCCTCTTGAACGACACACGAGCGCTTGCTTGTGCGCTATCGCGTTGATCAAAGCATGCGGCCCGCCATGGAGGGTTACTCAGGGCAGATTTTAAATCGGCGCAGATTTTAATGTTCTTCGAACAAGTACTGTTAAAGAATTAGCAGACGAAAATTGATACGAATTGAATTTAGAAGTAAATAAATGAATGAAAATGAAATGAAGTTGAAAATAGATTAACAAATTGACGTCAGAAATCGTAGATTCGCGATTCGGGCCAGATTTCCCGTCGGCCATCTTGTAAACAACTCGCGCCGCTGAGGCGAAGCAGCCTCTCAGCTTGCGCGCGCGTCAGTGTCGTTCAGAAGGCGACGCGCTTCGGCGAGGGGGCGCGTCGCATCTTCTGAACATGCTCTGTTCTCACGCGCGCAGGACTGCCACCTAGGTGTGCGATTAACCTGTTTCTCACGCACACAGGACGCTACCTGGTCGTCGATTAACCTGTTCTCAACGCGCGAGCGACTGCTAACCTGGTGTCCGATTAACTTTGTTCTCACGCTGCGCAAGGACTGCTACCTGGGTGTCGATTAACCTGTTCTCACGCATGCAGACTGCTACCTGGTGTCGATTAACTCTGTCTCACGCGCCGCAGGAACTGCTACCTGGTGTCGATGTAACTTGGTTCTCACACACGCAGGACTGCTACCTGGTGCGAATTAACGCTGTTCTCACGCGTGACAGGACTGCTACCTGGTGTCGATTAAGGCCGCCGGCGACCCCGCCTGTTCTCACGCGCACAGGAACTGCTAGCCTGCGCTGTCGATTAACCTGTTCTCATGGCCATGCAGCGACTGCTACCTGGTGTCGATTAACCTGTTCTCAATCGCCGCGCAGGAACTGCTAACCTGGTGTCGATTTAACTTGGTTCTCATGCACGCAGGACTGCTACCTGGTGCGATTAACCTGTTCTCATGGCATGCAGACTGCCTACCTGGTGTCGAATTAACCTGTTCTCATGCATGGCAGACTGCTACCTGGTGTCGATTAACCTGTTCTCATGCATGCAGGAAGCTGCTACTGGTGTCGATTAACCTGTTTCTCAACGCGCGAGGACTGCTACCTGGTGTCGTTTTAACTTGTTCTGCATGGCACGCAGGACTGGCTACCTGCTCGTCGATTAACCTGTTCTCATGCATCAGCGCACTGTACCTGGTGTCGATGTAACCTGTTTCTCATGCAGCGCAGGACTGCTAACTGGTGTCGATTAACCAGTTCTCATGCATGGGCAGGAGCTGGCTACCCTGGTGTCGATTCAACGCTGTTCGACGCATGCAGGACTGCTACCTGGTTGTCCGATAACCTGTGGTTGCCTCACGCGGCGGCAGGACCTGGGCTACACTGGTGTCGATTTACCTTGTTTCTTCATGCACGCAGGACTGCTACCCATGGTGTCGATTAACCTGTTCCTGCATGCCCATGCAGGACCTGGCTCCGGTGTCGATTACCTGTTCTCAATGCAAATGCAGGACTGCTACGCTGGTGTTCGATTAAACTCTGTTTCTCAACGCGCGCGAGGACGGCTACCTGTGTCGATTAAATCCTGTTCATCGCCGTGTTGCATGCACAGGACTGCTACCTGGTGTCGATTAACCTGTTCTCAATGGGCATGCAGGACTGGCTACGGGTTGTCGATGTAAACCCTGTTTCTCACGAAGACACGAGGACATTGCTACCAATTCGCGTGTGTCGAGATTAACCACACCATGTTCGCTGGCAGCGTGCGGCAGGACCCTGTTCTACCTGGCGTCGATTAACCCTGTGTAACTGCACGCAGTAAAACAGGCGACGTGCCTACTGATGTTCGATTAATCCTGCTTCTAACCATTCGAAGCCGCAGGGATAATTAAGAAATGCTATGAAACTACTCTGGTGTTGGAAATATTATAACTCTCTCTTTTGTTACTCAACTTCACTGCAGGACTGCTACCTGGCTGTCGATCTCTTTAAACCTGGTTATATGCTTGCGGCAACATGCGTACCAGGAGGCCATGCTTACTGGTGTCCGATTAACAACCAGTATCTCATGCATGCACGGTATCGGACTACCAAGGCCTGGTGTCGATTAAACCTTTCTCACGCATGCAGGACTGCTACCTGTGTCGATTAACGCTGTGCGACATGCACGCAGGACAATGATAACCTTGGTGTCCGGATTAACCTGTTTCACGCAGTACAGGACTTGAAACACCTGGTGTCGAACTTAACCAGTTCTCATGCATGCAGGACCTGCTTACCTGGTGTCGATTACTCTGTCTTCACGCGTCTGGCAGGACTTCTACCTGGTGTCCGATTAATCCTGTTTCTCAACCGCACGGCGCAGGACCTGCTACTGGTGTCGGATTTAAGCACTGTTGTCTCACGCCGCAGCAAAGGACTGGCTAGCCTGGTGTCGATTAACCTGTTGCCTTCATCAGGCAATGCAGAGACTGCTTCTGCGCTGCGATGTAACCTGTTCTGCAGCGTGCGCAGGACATTGACTACCGAGGCGAGATACAGTGTGGTCGAATTAACCAGTCGTTTCCTCCATCCTACTGCCCAAGGTGACTGTGCTATCGGTGGTGTCGATTAACGCTCGGTTCGTCAATGGCCGAGTTAGAATACATCATTTCATCATTTTCTTAAAGGCAGTGAGTGCTGACCGTTGAGGTGTGTCTGTATTGAACTATCCTTTTGTCTCGATCGGGCATTGCAGGTAGGCGGTACAATTTTGTCTTTTATCGGCATGAAGAAGTGGACGTTAAAATTTAAAAATCGTTCTCTCCTAAACCGCGGTCATGTTGGGACAGGACTGCTAACTGGTGTTCCTCGATTAAGAGCAACTGTTCAAGTAACCAGACGCACAAAGTGGCGCATCTAATGCCATCCGATTAGATTGCCCTGTGAATTAAAGTGGTCGCCATTTAATTAACCTGTTTAAATCACAAATATTAGACTAAATAGTCCAATAAGCAGGACATAATATGACTCGCACAACAATTATGGTGTCGCACTTTAAAAAAAACATGTTCTGCAACGTGGCGGAACAGCTAATAGTATGACTGCTACAAAATAAGGTGAACTAATAGCTATTAAACAGACAGGGCACTAAAGGGTTAATCAGACGTAGAACTGAACGCCTCAAATCGAACGCTCGCATGGGCACGAACGCAGTGCAAGTGCATATCTTGAACGACACACAGAATGCGCTGCTGTGCGCTCGCTTGATCAAAGATGGCGGCCCTCACCATTGGGAGGGTATATTTACAGGCAGATTTTATTATTCTGT